TATTTTGTGTCCAAGTGTTGGCTTGGAAAGATGTAAGCCTGTGGGGCATTTTATTCGATGTTACATGTAATGCTTATTTAGTAATACTCTGATGATTGAATTAATAAATTGTTTTCTTTAAATAATGCATGTCAATTATATATATAATGGGTTAATTTTGAGGGCGTTACAAAGAGGGAATGGAGAGAGAGAGAGAGGGGGTCGATCGCCGATCGCCGCCGCCGCTGCCTCCAATTTTTTTTTCAGTCCGTTTTTTTTTCAGATCGAAGCCCGGTTTTTTTTTTTCTTCTGAAAATGTGTTGATGATGATGATGGTGATGATGAATATGTTGTTGTTGATGATGAAGATGATGAATGGTTGTTGATGATGTTGATGTTGTTGATGTTGTGGTTGAATGGTTGTTAATGATGATGTTGATGAAGACCTAATGATGTTGTTGATGAAACTTTTTTTTCTTCTCTCTCTCTCTCTCTGCTACTCTCCTCTTCCTCATTCTTCTTCTTATTCTTTTTTTCTTTCTTCTTCTGCGTTATTGGAAAAAAAAAAAATCAAAACGACGAAACGACGTCGTTTTGAATTCGGGGGATTTTTTTTTTTTGGGTTTCGAGCTACGTAGCATCACTGTATATATATATATAATGATGGGACAAATTTATCAGTATGTGACATTAAAACAAAATTTTAACAAGATGTTTCTTAATAAATTAGGGTCGTATAATGACCAAAAAAAATTTAAATCTGAATACAATAATTACATATTTTAATACACTTTTATTTATTTTAATATTTTTTAAAAATTATTTACTTATTTTTAACATTTCAACACACTTTTACATATTTATCAAATATTAAAAAAAAAGGTCCGAAGATCTATAATTAGCATTTTTTTTTATAAAAATAACTAAATAACACTGACACTAATCATTAGAAAAATTGATATGTATATATTTTTTTATATATATATTTATAAGTGGGTGTCAGGTCTAGTTCGTGTATAGCTCGACTAATTTTAGAGTTTCGAAGTTAACAATTGGATAAATCACGAGTAGCCCAACTAATTTTGGAGTGATTCATTTTCTTTTCTTATTTTTAATGTCCAGAGTGGCTTTTTTTGGATAATTCGAGTTTGAAATTTTGGATTTTATTCTTAAATTTTTATCACTATAAAAAAATTGGTATTTATTTGTGACAAATAACTTCTATGTAGCTTCACGTAACACAAGTCATATATTATATAAATAAAGTTGAACACATTTAAAAAATAATAAAATCTACCATCCCGTATAAAAAGTTCGATAAGAGAATAAAAAATTCACATAAAATATTTTAGCCCACATAATAAGAGTAATGATTCATCCCCCCTTTTTCCCCCACCCCCTTTGACCCCCTCTCTCTCTCATTGGTTACCTTTTCTTTTTCTTTTTCTTTTTTTTCCTGCTCCACCAATCACCTCCTGCCACGTGGCAAAGGGGGTGACCCCTAAAAGGGGGTCCCAAGCATTATTCACATAATAATTGAAACAAGAAGCAGAAAATGAGAATTTGGGATGTTGGTCTTTGTAAGATTGCCAAAAGCCAAACAAAGCAGCTTAGACCGACCTAACAATACAAAACTTGTGATTATTTTTTTAATTAATTGATAAATTGCAAACTTTTGATGTATTGGTGGTTTCACACTTGGTACTATTGTTTCTTTTTAGGGAGAATTAATGTAAAGGCCATGTTAATAGGAATGAAAAGGGGAAGTAGAAAATCTCACTGTTGTTTAAGTGGCTTTAAAAAATGAGAATATAACTCTTAATTTGATTCTAAATGAGATTGCCATTTTTTTTTTTTTCAACTTTTCCAATAGTTATTTTAGCATAAGAAAATTTTGCTAAGGAAAATTGAGACCTAATATTCAATTTGAATAATTCAAAGTCCCACATGGCAAGTTATTTGTCAACTTTTTACACGCTCAACTGTTTTGGGAAGTGGGTTATAATCCACTTCTCAGATTATAATCCACTTCCTTCTCTCACAAAAAGCTGATTATAATCAGCTTATAATCAGCTTTTAACTAAAAAGCTAATTATAACCATCTTCCCAAAATAGCCATGTGTGAGGTCCAATTTTTTTATCATATCATTGTAGATGAATTGTAAAACATAAATTGTAGGTCTCTCGCATTTATCTTTGACTAGTTTATGTTTTTTGGCAGAAAATAAATTGTGCAAATGAGTTAATAATTTTTCAACAAAATAAATTTCTGTAGACAATAAATGGAAATCTTATTTCCACATCACATTCTAAATAAAAAAATTAAAATTTATTTTTATTTTTATTTTTTAAATGATAGTCAGTCAAGCTTGCTTTTGTGAAACGTAAAGAAAGGTTAAAAAATATTTTAAAATTCCATTCACATTTTTTGGGTCTGTTGAAGGGAATAAGATCTAGAGCTCAAACTCTGAGTGTTAAGTTTGGTTAACTCTTGGGATTCTTAGTTTTTTCACAATACAAAATGTATTATTTTATTGGAAAATTTTATGTGTACCATATATTCCTTATTATAAATTGGTATAATTTTACTATAAAATTTCGTAACATCAACCAAAAAATACATAACCTTACCATGAATTGGCGTAACAAAAAATATTGTAACCAAGTCACAAACTTTTGTTACATGAACCAAAAATTTTAGACAATTTGTTATGCTAATTTGAAATTATATTACGTCAATTGTGATAAAGTGCATTCCCTATTTTATGTGTAGCTATGTATGTAAATGAAATTTTGGGCACAATGAGAGTTATTACAAATCGAATATTGGGTTAAAATTCCATCAACTAGAAAAATCTATCTATATATATTTCTTCTCCAAACTGTTAACTATTAAAATTTCACATTTTGCAGAAATTGATTACATATTTTTAACAATCAACTAGTACATTCAGTAATATTAACCATTTTTCAAGGGTTTTTTCTTCTTCTTTTTTTTTTTTTTTTCAAAAACTAAAGTCTACTATTTTCCATTTTATTTTGATCAATTACCATTTTCAAAAACTACCATTCATTTTGGAGTATTTCTTTCTATTCCTATTTTTTCTTTTTTAATTTGTACTTTTTTATTCAAATTGTTTGACACCCGTGCTTGCAAGTTGCACTTTAGTGAATTATTTTTTAGTGACTTTTTATTGCTTTTGTTGAAAACAGAAGCATACCCACCATACCCATGACGGTGCTGAAAATACGACCATTGAAAAATGAGGACGTAGATATACGAACAGTAGGCTTCAAATTTCACTTACACTGTATTTGGTTTGAAGATTTAAAAATAGATTTAGAAAAAAAAAGAAGAAAAAATAGGTAAAATATGAATAAAATATATTTATATTTTACCTAATTTTACACACATTTTTTCTTTTATTTTCTAAATCCCTTGCCAAATCTCCCAGTCAAATACAGTCAAACACAGCGTTAGGCACCCAAATCTTGAGAATATCTATGGGCAATCTATGCTGGAATGAGTTCTTAATAATGATCAAAATAGTTTTTCATATAAATGACAAAAGTGAGAAAAATCCAAAAAAAAAAAACCTCGTCTTTTGGGCAAGATAAAGCATAAATGAAGTTTTGAAAGAAGAAAAATCTTTTGATTTATAGATTAGAATTCCTTGCGGAAGAAAAATTGAATGGTCATTCAATTTGAATAAGTTATTCCTTTTTATGAATACTCTTACATAGTTTTTGCTTTGCTAAAATGATTTTTAGTAATAGAATTGGTGAATTATCGGGGCAGAGCTATGATTTGAACAGTGGTGTCAATTGACACCACTCAACTTCAAATTTTTGATAGAGTATATATAAAAAATTATGAGTATTTACAAATTAAACCTAGTGGGCCTAAATAAAATAAATTATTTTTTAAACTTTTACAAATTGACCCCAGTAAATGAAAACAAAATCAAACTTTATTCAAAAATTTAGGTTTCTAGAAACAAACCAAACGTTTGTTTATTCGTCTTGGAGACTGGACATTAACTTTTGGTTCTCTCCATCGACTATTGCTTTGGTTGTCTCTTACTATCACGTTGTTTCTTCTTTCATTCTTTTTCTCTCCAATGTTTCATTCCAGTTGCAGAAACTTGTTCATTCGTTCGGGTTTTCGTTCATTCACTGCGGTAGTTATGATTGCCGAGGCTTTTAATCTAGTTTAGGCCATTTGGTCTTTGATTGTGGCACCAAGGTTAGCTTTCTTTTACTCTAAAACCTTTTCTCTTTCTCTCTCTGTCTCTCTCTCTTCTTTTTTTTCTTTTTTTTTTTTATTTATTTTTTCTTTCTTTCTTTCTGTGATTCAATTGTGTTGATGGATTGTCAATATTTGGGATTATATAGCAACTATGCCTAGGGCTTATTAAGTTTTGAGATTTTGGGGCTTATTGATGATTTTGAACAAGCATTCTATTAACCTCTCTTGCATCAAATTCTAATTTTTCTAGTTAACTATATTGATGATTTTGAATTCCATCTACTTTTACCAATGTGATTTGGGAATATATGAAATTTACGGAGTATTATGTGAATGTTAATGTTGACAGATTGTGTAGAATTAAAAATATGATATATGAAATTGATGATATACATAAATGATGATATATGAAATTGATGAGATAGAAAATTCATGACTACGTCATTGTGAATGATGACACTATTTTTAATGTAAATTCTTTTTTTTTTATCCAATCAAAGATGAGAGTGGATATTCTAACGAAACAACTTTCATTCTAGCCTCATTCAAATGAGCTAAACACTACCAGCAGAGGAATGACATATTAACTTAACTTTTATACATAATTTTCATACAGAGTAATAAGTCTTTTTGTATTTCATTTTTAATCAAAATAACCACTATTGTCTTCATAATTTCAAAAATATTAATGAAAAATCCTTCTAGATGTGTTTATTTTTGTATAAATTTTCAATTTTCAAATCATTTTCCAAACTATTACTGTATATTCTTCATATAAAAGTCAAAATATGATTTTTATGGGAGTTTAACAAAATAATAGTAATACTATATACATAAACAAATTTCTTACCTAATTTTTTTTACCAACAGTCACAAATGTATTGGAGCCCACATTAATACAAGCGGGGCTCGTTGTTTAGTGTCTAACTGATAAAAATCTGTTTATGCCTTTTATTTTCCTAACTGAATGTGTTTCAAAATAATGTGACAACAATATTTAATAAACGCTTTAATTTAAAATTAAAAAAATCATAAAATCTCATATCATTAGTATAAAAATTCTATCAATACAAGAATATTACAAAAAAAATATAAGTAATTAAGGCTTAGGGCTAGGGTAGGAATGGACATTTAGTGGACCAGGCCACCATACTACTACCATGCCTAATAACATATTCTTCTTCATCTCCATTAGAGCACTACCATCTCTTGTTTTGGCCCAATCTACTCCACCATGCCATACACCCGACAAATATGTAGCTTATCAGCCATTTTAGGCGTGTAAATAGGTTTGGAAGTATTGAAGTTTGAAAGCTGTGTGTTTTGGATTTGGGGACTGTATTCTCAACCTCCCCTCTTTTCTTTCTTCTCTTTTTTGGACAACAACACTCTTTTGAATTTTGACCAAAACTTGAAAGAAACCGTGTTTTCAAATCCTTTGATTGAGAGATGTTACATCACATGGCACATGGCATATGTCAAGTGGGTATTTCACAACACATACACATTCGAACAACTTGTCAATGGGGCCGCAACTTGTTAGTGATACCTGTTTGTAAGTCTGGCCACTTTTTGGTCTCATTATATGTGATTTATTGTCAAAATATGTGACGCTGTGAATCACATAAATTGTGTAGCACCACACCACCACTACAACAAAAAACACTATTGGCGACTAAAATGGGAATTTTCGTCGCTGAAAGTCATGGAATTGGCGACTAAAATGGAATTAGTCGCCAAAATTGGTCACTTTTGCCGACTAAAAGACTTTAGTCGCCAACTTGTCAATGGGGCCGCAACTTGTTAGTGATACCTGTTTGTAAGTCGGGCCACTTTTTTGGTCTCATTATATGTGATTTATTGTCAAAATATGTGATGCTGTGAATCACATAAATTGTGTAGCACCACACCACATATGTTATAGAATGTATATAAACTACTTAATAATTTTATTCATATATTTCTTTATTGCCTGTCAAATTATTTTTATAGTTGTGATAGACATTTGGATAACTTATTTGCTTTTAAGTCTCGCCGCTTTGTCGTGTAGTGTCATATGACCTATTGTATAGAATCCATATAGGATACTCAATAACTTATATTTGTGGTTTCTTTTAGTAATTATTGACTATCAAGTAATCTATTTGAACAACTTGTTAGTAAGACATGCTTGTAAATCCCTTCATTTTCTAATCCCACTAATGTTATGTTTGGTTAAGAGATTTGAGAAATGATTTAGAAAGAGAAAATGAAAATGTGTGTGAAATTAAGTGAAATGTAAGTATATTTTATTCATATTTCACTTACCTTTTTTATTTCTCTTTTCAAATCTCTCTTCAAATTCCTTAACCAAATACAGTATAAATATAATTTGTTTGTGATTGTGTATCATATTATGAGTGGTATGAACGGTATAAAACCCGTGACTTACATATTGGATACTCAATAATTGTCCAAAATTACTATTAACAATAATTTTGACAAAGTATCTAACTTGTCCAATATTATTAAGAATTACGAACGCCAAAAAATTTCTCAAATAATAATAATAATTTGGTATTTTGAAAAAGGAAAAAGTTGTCAGAAAAATAATGAATTTTTTTTTTTTTATAAACAAATTTATAAATGTAGTAAAAAAAATATTAAACTTGATATTAGTAATACAAAATAATAAAAACATCATAATGGATATAAATCATTATACACCATGCGCTTTAGATATGGCTATCTCTTATTCTAAAGTTTTTTTATTTTTTTTATTTTATTTTTTATTGGGTACAGATATATTCCTTAATTTTTTCCTCTACAAAACATTAAGAAAACGAAAAGAAAATAATCATCATATAATTAAATCTTAAACTATTATCACAAACATGTTGAAAAAATCGCTTTGAAAAGTGTTAAATTAAAACTATAAAATTCCGAACTTCTACAAGAGATGTTTCAATATAATTAGCAAACACTAACGAAAATCTTAAAATAAAAAATGAAGCTGATTATTTATCGATCCTTAGTAGGCTTGACTACCTTACATTTATTATCAATTTAGTTTATAAAAATTTACAGTCAAAGTACATGCATATAAGTTCTTATATATGTTAATACCATAATAATGGAAAGATCCCGATAAGTATGATCACCATCAATACAAGCAAGTCATTAATTTATTCAATACTTTGGTCAAAAAAATGAACCATAAAGTAAAATGAATGCAAACCAACCTCTTCAACAAACCAAACTACAAACAAGTTAAGCAGAATATTTAACTAGTCTCAGCTGCAATGTACAAATCGGTACAAATATTAGTGTCCTATTCTCTGAAAATATCAGTGTCCTAGTAAAATTCCTAGCAAAACCTAGAGTAAATCTAAGTGTACATAAAGTTTTCACATAACACAGATGCGTTATTGTCTCACATCTGTGTCCTATTCTGTGAAAATCTTATGTGTTTTCCTAGCACAGCTGCAAAACTTAATCGCCTCTTTTTGATAAGAGATGCACTCTTTTTCGCTCCACAGAAAACTTGTCACTGCTTTCTAGCTGCAAAGCGAAAACAAAATGTCATGTCTGATTTGCAAAGGCAAAACAAATCCCAAAAAATTATAATTATAGTAAAAACTGAATATTCATGATATAAACTACAAAACACTAGACCAAAAATGGCCACAAAAAATTCCCCACAAGCAGGCTTAAGATCACACCTTTCGTTTCAAGAAAGCAAGAGCTTCTCTTTTTGAGAAGTCAGACAAAACAGGAGAGTGTTCATCAATAAGAACTTTGAGCTGTTTCAGCTTTAATGACTCTCCCGCTACCTGCAACAAAAAGTCCAATCAGTGGTGAGAAATAGAATATTGTCGCAGATGAGCTCGCAACTCGAGAAGTCATACCTGAAGAAGAAGCTTCCGACACAACTTTTTTAGCTTGATCTTTGGTTCATCATTCTTGTTTAGTTGTGATATGTCACCATATTTTCGTTTTCTTGAAGAACTAGAATCAGAAGAATCCTCATCAACACTGTCATCAAACGATATCTTTTTCCCTTGAAAGTGGCAACCAGCTATTTTCCTTGGCCGGTCCTTGATGCCCAATCCTTGTTTTCCAGATGTTGCTTTATTCTGCAGATAAAGATTTGCATGAATACTATATCCTGAAAAATCTTCCGACACAGCTTTTTTAGCTTGATCGTTTTATGTGTATGTGTGCTGAGCTCAATCATTTCAAACTACCAAAAAGACTTATCAACTAAGCTACCAAATAACTCAACCAACAGAGTCATCTGGAAAATTGGTCATTATTTCATTTTTACTATGAACTTGATAAGCTAAATAATTCAGTTTACCACACAAGAAAATCAACATACTACAAGTTAAAATGTGGAAATAAACCAGCATAGATATTGTTCAACTGAAAGCTGTCGAGAAAAAGGTCCCATTGTAAAGGGATGAACATAAAAAACCACACACTAGAACAATTTGTAAATGGCATGTTAAGCAACAAGAATACATACTTGGACAAGGTTGTAAAGATTCTCTTGATCTTCTTCATGAAAAGCAACCCTCTCCTGAGATTTTTGAGTATTTTCGGCTGGGAGAGATTTCTTTCTCCTGGATTCTGCTCCAAGAAAACCTCCTGACACAAATCCAGATTTATAACCCCACCATTCCAGCGAAACATCGTTACCTTTGTTTCCTGCAGCAATGCTCAGGTTTTAATTTAAAAATAAATAGATACCATGATCTCTATCCAACAACTAGAGATGGAAAACTGTAATCCAGAGTACATCAAAGAGACTTCATATCCATAGACAATTCAACAAGAAACCATTGTGTACAGAACGGAGTACAATATAATCAGAATACAAAAAAAACAAAAGTTGGAGAAAACATAGTTCCTAAAAAAAATCGTACTAAAAAAAAACATATCAAAAGAACAAGGGGTTTGAATTTGAACCAAATCGTTGGCATCGCAATAATTGTATATCAAACCTACTGGAGAAATTAAAGTTTCAGGAAAGGTATCAACTTTGTATTGACATGCAACATCCCAAGAATAAATGCAATTTGCTCATTCGTATCATACTGGACCTGTGAGAAGAGAAGACTACTTTCACGAAAGAGAAATAACAAATAGATAACTAAATACATAGCAGAAACACGTACATAGGCTTAACTCAAACACTCCCCCTGTCCCCTTTTCAAAAAAAATAAATAAAATACAAAAACAAAAACGAGAGAGAGAGAGAGACGGGAAAAAGGGTGGCGGGTGCTGGCTGAGGGTGGTGGGGGAGGGATAAAGAGTAAAAACTTGTTTTGAAAACAAGTGAAAACATCTTTTTTTTTTCATTTCCTGCATCCACAAAAAACAAAAACAAAAACAAAAACAAAAACAGAAGGTGATGGCAAATAGAATTACAGTTTCCCAAATGGTGTCATCCATTACAAGGAAAAAGTACAGCTTTCCATCAAGATTTATTTACCTTCAACATCAATAACATGATTTTCAGCTTCAGGTTCTTCCACCAACTCCAATATGCCAACCGGATTAGAGTTTGTCTCAGAAAATTGCTCAACTTTTTTGACCTACAGTACGTGACACCAAGAGAAAATAAGCAGTGAAAATATTAAATCGAGAAAAGAGGGAAAAGGAAAAAGAAAAACACTTTAATCTAGCATCCAAACTTGGCTGAATGGAATTCTAGAAGGATGTGCCAATTATAGCTCCCATAAAGTGATCAATTCAAGTAAGCTTTTGTGGTTGCATGGTAATTAGTCACACAGTAAAATTGGTATATATACAAGCTCTAAATCCTGGAAAAACTAAATGGAACCTTCCCTCTGCAACATAATTCAACTCAACTCAACTAAACATATTTGATGACCAAATTTCACAAATACACAATTTTTATAACTTTGACATAGTTTATCTTCATAGTAAAAAAATTTAGCATAGTATCTTCGAAACCACGACACCAGAAAAATTATATCTCCAATAAAAATGGGAACAGATACAAATGGACAAAATTTTTAAGTTCTTTATATTAGATCGGCAGAAGAAGAAGAAGAAGAAGAAGAAAAAAAAAAAAAGAGAGAGAGAGAGAGAGGAAGAAAGATAAAAGGTGCAAACGCTATACACATGGTGCACACATCAAAAACTGTACCTATACCTTTATATCTCTACAAGAATATGCAATTCCTGCATAAACTCTACAAAATGCAAAGAGGGAAAGAATCTTTGATTCTTTAGAACAAAAATAAAGTGAAATAAGAAATTTCAAGCGCAATAAACAGCTCTCCTCATTCTCATTATTCCTAATCCTTTCTCCTAACAAAACCAAACCCTATGCACCTACACATGAAACACAAATCTGCTAAAATTTCAACCTCAGCCACAAATTATCTGCAGTCAAAATGGATTCCCTAACAGTTGTCAATGCACCTTGGGGCTTTGGAGCACCATACCCCTTTTACAAGGAAAGGATAAATCATCCCTCCCCACATCTCAGCAGAAAACAATCTCACCAAGAGAAACTATTCCTGATAGGTCTCCAAGCCAAAATCTCCTTTGGCTCCCCTAAATCCGATCCAACAACCTTGGAGCATTACAAGAAAGCCCCCTACAAATTCCATCTCCTAATCATGGAATGGCCTCTTAAACTGAGGGGCCCAAATGCCTCCACCACTGGAGGAATCACTCAAGTCTGCCACAAGAACTTGCTTATCAACTGAACTATAGTACAAGTCAAGAAAAAACTCCATCAGCAGCCAATGACCACACTAAATGACCTGCCAAAATCAAATGCTGCAACGATTCCCCACCCTGAAGAAAGAAGGATGGAAGAAATCGTACCAAACCCTCATAATACTCTTCCAAAGGCCCACCCGCCCCCACACGGACATCTAATAGTATCTTTCCTACCCACCCAACATGCTGCCATATCTCCGCTCAATCACTCTTCTCCAAAGACTATCCCTCTTCAGTGTGAACCATACTATGAAAATGGATTTCCATAAATTACTATACAATCTTCCAATTCAGTCGATTATCAACCCTTTTCTTTTGTTGTTGAAATTTCAACCAAATGAATACACAATATAAGAAAGCCATTCATTTCCTGAATTTCGAATATGAACTTTTGCCAATTTCACCAAATATTCAGAATTTTTAGCCAATTTCCTTCTATCTGAAATTTGACCAATTCAAATTCGATCAACCAATCTAAATCTAGCTTCCGTGAAACCTAAGTAAATTCAGAAAATTGCAAAAAGATGTTCTCAAGCAATCAATTTAGCTATGATTTTCTACATAGAATTACAACAATCTATTAAAAATTATAGTCAAAACAAGAAAATAGAGGCAACCTCTGAAAATTGTACAATAAAATATTAAGAAAATAGAAGCAGATGGAAAAACTTCCAAATCTTAGAACCTCATTTTTGTAAAAATAATTTGCTACCTTCAGACAACATAGTGACCCAAATAATTAATTCACCACTTATAACTAAGGCAGCACAAATTAACTAGCTCACAATTCAATCAACTCTATATAAAGAAAACAGAAAGGCCTAAATTACAAAGGTTAAAAACTCACAAGTATTCCTCCAAGATCCTCGGAAGAATATGCATGGACAAGTTTCCCTCTCTCTCTTTTCTTATACCTGGTGATTATTAAAGAAGGAAATAAAAATAAACAAGTAAATAAATTTAAAAAAAAAAAAAAAAACTCAAAACCAATCTAGCATTGATGTGGGCAACCATATTGACCTTCCTTGGGGCCGAGTAGACTTGACAACTGTATTAATCTCTGTGGTGACACCGGTATCAACCTCTTGAACATCATCCTTTTCAACACCTGCAAGATGCATACGAAGCGGATACACATCAAACTATCATGATATTCGGTGCAATATAAATTCATTTTCATCTTGACGTACCTTCATCCTTGGTTTCTGCTGCTTGCCGCAAAAATAAAAAAGAAAGATTTACAGACAGAAAAACATAAGAACAATTTTTTATTTTTATTTTTTTTAAAGTTATTAAATCTAATTCGAAGATAAATGTGAGAATTACCACTTTCAATCTCTTGAGGATGTTGTCAAACTGTGATGTATCAAACGCCCACTTATTTTTGGGTTCATCTACACCAATACCTGTAGTAATTTTTAAACTGTCAAACTGCTCTATATGTCTTGAACTGTTCTTATTTCTTCTAATATAATAAATGAAAAACTCATCCCACAACAAGTTTAACCTTATTAGCTCCTTTGATTCATAAGACAATTAAAAGAATAAAAATAAAAGAACTCTCTGTTCTAGGCAGCAAAATAGAGGATGAATTTGATAAATAAACAAGAATCAGAGGAAAAAAAGAACCTGCAGTGTCCTGTTTGTTCTTAACCCTGACATATCCTTTGATCCCTTGCTTCTCTTTCCCAAGCCCTTCTCCTTCTTCCCACCCCTACAACACAATTGCATCTCCACACCATCAAAATTCATCGAACACACACATTTACACACACATACAGATTCAAACCTGAGCTAAAGCAACTGTGTTCTGAAATTTCAAAAATTTTTTTTCTTTTGGTAATCTTATTCTGGCTATATATATATATATATAGAGAGAGAGAGAGAGAGAGAGAGAGAGAGAACTAACCATTTGTTTCATGAGACGGAAAGCGGCGGACTTTCTCGCTATTCCGACGTAGCAAATAGGAGCTTCAGGTGCCGCCATTTTCCTCTCTTTCTCTCTCCCTCTCAAAAAGTGCGGAGAGAGAGAGAGAGAGAGGAGACCGCGCAGCTCAGGAACCTCAAGAAGCCCTAGAAACGGTGGAGAAAGAGGAGACTGGTGAGAGAAGGAAAAAAATATTCCAGTGTGGTCGTGATTTGTGAATTTGTCTACAGTTGGTAGTCTGGTTTCGGTAGATGAGTTTGATCAACGGTGGATTTCGTTACTTGTTTTTGCCTTCCTTCTTTCCGACAATATTGAGGTTGAGGCCCATCTTTTCCTTGATAATTGGGCTTTAGCCATGAAATCCAGCCCATTGGCACATTGTTGGGCCTTTATTTTGTTTTTGTTTTAAACTTTAACTCCCCGTTTGTTTTCAAAGATAGAATAGAGGGAATTCATAGTGAGGGGATTATTAGTGAAAGAATTGATAGTGAGGAGATTAATAGTGAAAAATTATTAAATTATTTTTAAATAAAATAAATAAAAAAATATAAAAAATTAAACATTATATTTTTAAAAAAAATCCCAATATAAAAAAAAATTCTAATCCCTCACTATTTTTCTAATACTATCTCTACTTCCTCCTTACCAATCCCTCTTCCAAGGGGACTACTAATACCAAGGGATTAGTAGTTCCCTCCCCATTTCTCAAAACAAACACCCCATTAGTGATACTAAGAGATTAGTAATCCACATCCCCTCTCTATAACCCCAAACAAACGGGGCCTAATAGTTATTCATTTGGACAAATGTTTCTAATTTGACCATATAACGACTAAAATATATATTTTTTATCAGTTTTATTTAATAAAAATAAGTAAATAATTGACAAAATTAAAAAATTTGAGTTTATTTTCTTACAAGTCCCACACCGTGATTTTTTTATAATTAACTTTAGAAAGTACAAAAAGTAACGTATAAAAGATTTGAAAATAATGAATTAAAAATAATTTTATATTATAAGTATATACATAAAAATATGCCATTTTTATATTAATGTGAAATGATTTATCCACGCAATTTATTGTCACCCAAATTTGTGCCAATCGGGTGACTGTTGGACGATAAGTTTTACCTTCTCTGTCATTTGGACAATTAGTCGGTTGACTGGCATTGTGAGTCGGCCATGGATTCGATCTCCATTGGCTGGAACCTGGATACCCGCTTATCATTGGCAGCATCGATATTCTCCACGATAGAGGCTTTGAAGCTCACACCGATGGTAAAATTCATAATGATTGAGCAAAATGTTTGCATATTTAGTTGTATGTGTGTTTGAATCGATACTTACAGGTAGGGGATTTCTCAATTCGTATTATCCTGTTTGAATTATAATATTGTATTGTGTCACTCTAAGCTGAAATTTGAACAATAATATTAGTAGCTCACTTTTGTTGTATCCAGAGGCACTAGTTTGCTCCAATTAGTTTTATCAAATATTTTCAAAATAATTATTTGTATTTTATTGCATGTTATCTTCAAAATTTTACACAAATTTGAGTAAAAATTTATGTGAAAGCTTTGTTTGATATGAAACCCTCTAATAGGAAATTTCACATTTAAACATTAAATTTGAGTAAAAGCTTCACTAATAGTGAAGTGGTAAATTTGAAAGTTCACCAAATAGCTTTGCAAATTGTGTACACGTTTGAGTCTGCCTTGAGTTGGGTAAAAATCTGTTTAAAATTCAATTTGGTACAAGTATAGGTTTGAGTCAAGGGTTAGAAATGCTAAGGCACAAAGTGAATCAATACCAATCACATGTATGAAATCAAAAATATTAACTAATAAGTTGAAGGTTTGGGGTAACTTGAACTAATGCCCATAATTTAAGGGGGTAATTATTCAAATTGATAGTTCATATAAAATGATGCCAGTAGTTTGAGTGGACAAAGTGAATTTTTCGTTGCAGACAAATATTTATGTTACATTTATTGAAAGCCTAATGTCTTCTCATTAATTGTGGTTTGCAGGGGATGTGTTGCTTCATTGTGTTGTTGATACAAGCTTGGGTGCTTTAGGATGTGTTGCTTCATTGTGTTGTTGATGCAATTTTGGGTGCTTTAGGACTTCCCGACATTAGGCAGATCTTTCCCGACTCCAATCCCAAATGGAAAGGTGTGGCATCGTCTGTTTTCATCAAAGAAGCTATGAGTTTTATCAACTATTTTCCATGCTTTTGATTATCTGATTCTCTTCCCCCTTACTATGTGTGCGGGAAATCCCACATCGGTCTGTGAGGGACTATTTTCCCACCTTATAAGCAGGCTGGCTCCTCTTACCTTGCATAAGCTTTTTCCCCCAGTGGGGGAGGAACAAAACCGTGTGGTCGGAATGCCAAAGCGGACAATATGTGCAAGGCACGAGGACCGGTGGCTTCAATTGGTGCCATCTGTGGGAAGACTTTGATACACAAACCTTGCTCTTCAAGCTTTTTTGACCGTTTCCATTGCTAACAACGATGAAACTCCACTGTCTGTCATCGATGGTGTCACGCCAGAGTCTGTTCGACGGAGAGAAGGCCCCCCGGCTATACCAGTCATGGCGGATTTGGAGACCTCTTCGAGAGGTGCGCGAGACAAACGCGCAAAGAGTACTGATCGCTCGAAGAGTCTGGAGGGCCGTCGACGGCGGGGGGAGTCTCATGCACAGCGCCTGGAGCACAAACTTAAAGACCAGGACGCCCTCATTCGCAAGATGGCGGTTAAAATGAAAGTGCTGAAACGCCAGATCAAGGAGAAGGGTGTTGCTGGAGAGGGCAGCCTCAATGAGCGCATCCCGTCTCCTCGTTCTGGCAGTTGCCACCAAGAAAGGATGCACTCCCTCTCTATCACCAGAAGCTATGGGGTCGGGGACTCCGACCCGCAGGTGGGCAAATCTCACACTCGCGACAGCACCTACCGTCCCTCACGCCCATCGTCGACGTCGCGATACTCTTTTTCCGCCCGTTCGGGAGACTTGAGGGATGTGTTAGAGGAAAGGGCTCGCCGTAGGGAGACTCAGAGATTGACGGCATTGCAGAGGATAAGCTCCCAAACCCGTTGTAGTGAGGAAGTGACAATGCCCGCACCCAGAGTGGTGGCCCCAGCGCTTGTGGACAAAGAGCTAGCGAGACTAACAGCTACGCCGCTGTCTCCAGAAATCGAGAGCACACCACTTACTGCCGGATTCCACCAGCCTAAGTTCACGTTGTACGATGGCAAGACGGATCCGTATATACACGTGAGTCATTACAGGCAAGTAATGGCTGGACACCGGCGCAATGATGCCTTGATGTGCCTCATATTCCCAGCAAGCTTAGGAGAACTGGGCCTGAAATGGTTCGAACGGCTTCCGGAGGGAGTATCGAGGGATGACAGCAACTAGCGGAGGCCTTCGTCACCAGATTCAAAGCCAACACTCGAACGCCAAATGAGGTCAATCATCTTCTGGGCATCAAGATGGAGTCTAGAGGTTCGTTGAAGGCATACAATGCGAAGTACTGGGAAACTTACAATGAGATCCTCGACTGCCCCATCAATCTGGCGATTACTCAATACAAGCGTGGTCTCCCAGTCAGACATAGGCTGCGAGATTCGCTTACAATGAATCAACCGTCGACCATGGAGTTGCTCATGCAACACATTAATGAACACATCCAAGTCAAAGACGATGCAGCCGCAGCTACCGTGACGACAAGTCCGGTAGTAGAGAATAAGAGAGTAGTACGAAAGGTTCACGTAATCGGACAAGATGATGGCCATGCAAACCACCATGAAAGAGATATAGGGAGTTCGGTTTTTGGAAGACGTCTATAAGAAGGCCGAGGAAAATGGGCATAAAACTCGTAGAATGTAAATGGCCGATCCATTTCCAGAACATCGAACTCTGCCAGTCTAAAGTTTTGTTCTTAGTTCTATTTTTGTAACCCTTTTTGCCATTGACACAATGAAACAAGTAGACCATTTTCTTGAGAACTGTTGTATTTTTGCCTCGCCAAGTGGATTTAGCGCGGTCCAAGGGGCAACTAACAACCATTCTAATGGAAAGATCAAAATTCCTTGTAGGGCGGATTTTGCTCGGCAAGAGGTTTGTTGATGGTTTTAATCAAATTTAAAATCCCTTGCCATACTGATCTTACTCGCCAAGAAGCAAATCGTCGAGCGGACCTTGCTTGCCTACCTTAGAGTGCCTTATCAAGATAATTTTGCTTGCCAAGAAGCCTTGCCAAGTTGATTTTGCTTGCCAAAATATAAGTGGACGAGCTGACTTTGCTCACCAACATTGAAATTCTACGCCGAGCTAAGCTGATTTTGCTTGCCAAGAAGTTGCCAAACCAATTTTGCTCACCAACTTTCGGCGAAAAACTGATGATTTATTCAATCGAAAAGAATTCCAATCGAAGAGTGAACACAGTCTAGGGGGCATCCCATCTAGTCTGGGTCACTACTTTGCTAGTGTAAGTTTAAAGTAGGAGCCCAGACTGGGGGGAAAGCAACAAGGTTGATCTCAATGACTTGATCTTGCCAAAAAGATCTTTGCTCAGTAAGAGGATAGCTAATAGATTTTATCGACTTTGGAATTATCCACCGAGCGGATGTTGCTCAACCAAATAAGTTGATGACTTGCTCAACTCAAAGAGTCGGTGAGCGGATGTCACTCGGCCAAATGAGTTGAATTGTTCAACTTCAACTTTTCTAGACGAGGTGACCATACCCGGCAAGCTGAACTGATGATTTGTTCGACTCAGAGCTTCACCGAGCAGGATGTCCCTCGACCGAACGAGTTGATGAATTGTTCGACTCCAAATTTCTTGGCCAAGGTAACCTTACTCGGCAGGCCGAATTGATGATTTGTTCAACCCGGAGCTCCGCTAAGCGAATGTTGCTCGGCCGAACGAATTGATGAGTTGTTCAACTCAGAGCTTGGCCGAGCGGATGTTGCCCGACTAAACGAGTTAATGATTTGTTCAACTCGGATCTCCGCCGAGTAGATATTGCTCGGCCGAACGAGTTGATGATATGTTCAACTCCCAAGCTTTGGGCTGAAAAGATTTAGCTTGGTCAAGGAAGTTGATGTTTTGTTCAACTTTGGAAGCTTTTGGCTG